TCCGCTGTTGCAAAATCATGACGCATCTACCTGCTGCGCAGCACCTCCCAGCCAAGAGACCACGCAGATGACCAGTCTTAGTCCCATCGAGCCCACTGCACCGGATGACTTCCTTCAATCCGCAGACATCACCTCGCTCCAACGTGCAGACACATACTGCCGTACAATCATCGATCGGCTCACCGGCTCATCTCGTGCTCCCAACAGCCGCTTGCGACGACAACTCACGCGTTTCAAACTTCATGACGGAACGCTACTTCGACAAACTTACCATCCTCTCGGTAGCCGATGGGTCCCGGTCATACCTCGCTCACTTCGACTCCAAGTCTTAGAAGCCTTTCATGACGACCCGACGGCTGGCCACTTGGGTTTTCATAAAACCTACGATCGCATTAAGACTCGCTGCTTCTGGCCTGGCCTCTCCACTAGTGTTTCCAGGTACGTCACTTCCTGTTCATCATGTCAGCACCGAAAACGTTCGACATCTCTTCCCGCCGGCCCTCTACAGCCTCTCCCGTGCCCATCCGCTCCCTTCGAGTTCGTCGGCATAGACTTATACGGACCCCTTCCGCTTACCGCCGCCGGTCACCGCTGGATTGTTACTGCCGTAGACCATCTTACTCGCTACGCTGAGACGGCAGCTCTTCCTACTGGAGCTGCCAGCGAAGTAGCCGACTTTGTTCTGCGTGCCATTATCCTGCGCCACGGCGCCCCTCGTGTTCTCCTGAGTGACCGTGGCAAGACATTTCTTTCTCGTGTGCTCGCTGAAGTTTTACAGGCCTCTGACACAATCCATAAGACCACCTCGGCATATCATCCGCAAACCAATGGTCTTACTGAGCGTTTTCATAGAACTTTGTCAGACATGATCTCTATGTATGTCCAACCCGATCACAAGAACTGGGACACAATACTACCTTTCGTCACGTTTGCCTATAACACTGCCATACAACGCACTACAAGTTACAGCCCGTTTTTTCTTGTGTATGGCCGTGCACCATCTTTTGTTCTAGACACCAGCTTTTTGTCCACGCCTTCTGTCCCATCTGCGTCCCTTCCGGAAGAATTCGCTGCCCGTGTCAACCACTGCCGCACAATCGCCCGCGCCAACACCTCTACCATTCAGGCCCAGCGAAAAGTTCGTTGTGATGCGACACGTCGAGTTGTGTCATTCTACCCAGGCGACGAAGTGCTCCTCTGTACACCTGTTCGCACACCCGGCCTCTGTGAAAAATTCATTCACAGATACCTGGGTCCTTACACCGTGCTTGAACGAACATCGGCCGTAAATTATCGCGTCGCGCCGGTTACTTCGGCTTCTGATCGCCGTCGTCGCGGGACCGAGATCGTCCATGTGTCTCGCCTGAAACCTTATATCCAGCGCTCATACACTTACTAAATGAACGTCTTGCAGACCGCTTTCGTGTAGGGGGGAAATAGTGTGAGCGCTGATTGTGTTGCTCATCATTTTCACTTTCACCTGCGCATACAAAGCACCGTGATCATCATCATCGTAGCGGCTCGCTGCTTGTTCGGTTGCTGGCTCGCGCGTCTGGGCTGACAATAAAACGGTCGCTCCTTCGTACCTGACGTCGTCTCACAATATATATATATATATATATATATATATATTGTAAGGAATGAGCCTCATAGACCAGCACCCGTACGCTGGGCCGGCCAACTGTTCCTTTTCTCTCTTCGTTCTTCTCTTCCTTCTACTAAGCCCCACACGCACCCATGTTCGAGCTCCACTACATTTACATTACACTCGGTCACACTGTGAGCATAGAGCCCTTCCAAAAATAGTCCTCTGGCAGTGGTTGTCTTCTCGCGAGGGAAAGCGTTCATAGGTACTGGGTCTTGAAAAATGAACGGTAAGACTGACGCCTCTGGGCAGCTCGAGGGCAGCTTAGCAGCCTGCCCTCAAGCAACCATCAGAACCGATTTGGTTTTTTTGCCATTTCAGATGGAGAACCACCCGCTGAGTTCCGAAGGTCATATCGGCGTTATACCACCAGATTCCGGACATCAAGCTACGCACCACCAAAGGTGGTCCCTTCTAACACTATGGAGATATATGAGTCATCAGCATTGCCCGGCGTACAGCTCTATAGTGCAAACATGAGCTTCATGCACGGTGCTGCATCGACGCCATGCTTCAGCCAATTTGCAACCATGGCGTGAGGCGCCCCGGCGTGTCCTCGGTGACTCCGTTTTGCCTGTCGGTGTGCTTGATCTGCACCTCGAAACGAAATCCGGGAGCATGTTCCTCGTCAGCGTTCCCGTACTCGAGGACCTGCCCGCTGATGTGATCCTAGGAGCTGACTTCCTCTTCTCTGGTGAAGTTCACCTCACCATTGATCATGATGGAGTCCACGTCATCTCTTCAACTCCTAGTCTCGCATCAACACAAAGAGCCCAAGTAGACAGACCACAACTTCAAGGGCCTAGTCCTACTGTGACAAAGAGCAGCTACTGTGACCAGACGGACACGCACCTGATGGCTTTGAAGCAGTCGTTGGCCGAGGGCTGAAATGTTCCGTTCAAAGAAGCCAGCAAGAAAACCATTGATGCGCCTCTGGCCAGCAGAGCCAGCTTTATTCATACCGGCAGCGACGCATGCGAAACAACGACGCATTCCAGTGACAGCGACGCATACCAATCTGCTGACGATGGCAAACGCTCTTTTCGGACATCTGGTCTACCACCAGATGGCCGCGCGGATCAACACAAAATAGCTCTCCCCACCTTCAGACCCACCGCTGACTCAACAACCCTCCGGTCATAGGCGACCAGTTCAAGCAAGGTAGTGAGGTGCTTTGAGAAAACGTCAATGATTTCACCGTGAGGTGCAGGCATGGCGGCATTCATGCATGCTAACGTGATACAGAGCCACGATTGACCACCTTTTGTCCCGTTTGTCGTAGGACTAAAAGTTTCGGAGACAGCAACGCAGATTCTGCTAAGCCGAATGTGACCTCTCTTCATATCTTGTCCGAACTTGCGCACCTTCTGCGCAGCGCAAGCATTTGTAATCTCATCACGCGAAAGTAGATGACGACTGGTGGCCTAAACTTCAGCCACAAAATTACCTCCTAGGCGTACTTCGGCCACAACGAGGCAGCCAATCTCGGCCACCTGAGTCTTCTACTGTTACGCGAGACACATCGAGGCGTGCAGAAGAGTGGCCACCCAGGCAAAGCCAATGGCGCCCACCAGAGAAATGATCAGCCTACTTCCGAAGCAAGCCGCAGTGTGTCTGCGAACGGCACAAACGAGGCAGCCAATGCCGCCCTTCAGAGGCGTCAGTATTACCGATGATCCGTCAAGATCCAGTACCTATGAACGCTTTCCCTCACGAGGCGACAACCACTGCCAGAGGTGGGCGATTTTCGGAAGGGCTCCATGTTCGCAGCGTGGCCGAGTGTAGTGAAGATGCAGTGGAGCTTGGGCGTGGGTGCGTGTGGGGCTCAGTAGAAGGAAGAGAACAATGAAGAGAGAAAAAAGAACAGCCGGCCCAACGTACGGGTGCTGTCTCCGAGTCTCTCTCACACACTGGCACTCCCACGTTTAAATTCACATAGATACACAATAAAGTGGCTGGGGGTAGCTGTCGTGGTAGCTCAGTGGTAGAGCATCGAACGCGTTATTCGAAGGTCGCAGGTTCGGACTCTGCCCACGGCAAGTTATCTTTCCACCCACTTTTCTTTCTTCCCACTTACATAACAATTGGCCTAATAACTTCCCCTATACTAGCCACGCTGAAGCAAGGCGGGCTCTTATACGTGCGCAGGCACAGGAATAACGTGCTGCTGCGCGCGCGAGAAACGCTGCAGCTCAACGCACATTTGACCATGTTAACTACACTTCGTATATAACTCCTGAATATTCTAGCCTTACTCCGTATCACATCCTGTTTCCTATGTGTCCAAAGTGTTGCTATCGCATTCATTTCTTCGGTCATGTATCAAAACGGCGGCTTTTTTTCTTTCCATGTTCAGTTGTTCTAACCCTCTTAATTTCCTACTTCTTGGAGGAGGAGGAGGGGGCATTGTGTGATGCATGATGCTACGGTAGAAGACGACAAAAATATTGTAAGCACAAAAGGAAAACAATACAAAACATGAGAGCGCATGTTTTCTATGCACATGTGCTCTTGAGCTACCCTGGGATAAATATTTCGTGTATTTATTTCAATAAACTGAGTTGTGAGTTTGCGCTTCTTTGTTTTCTCGCCTTCCGTTTTCCGGCCCACAGTGTGCGCACCGAAATGTTTCGAAGAATGTACTCAAACCAACTCGCGGAACTTTCGATACTATTAAAGGTATACAAATGTTGTTGCAATATTGCCACCACGTACCCTTCAGAAATGACCGTTATAGGAAATATAGGAGTGGTCTATCAGAAGGCAAGTTTGCTGACATTTCGTACAACCTATTCACTAACGCCATTCCTCCCACCTATCGTCTCATGGCCCTTGCCAGAATAAACTTTTCTGAATGAAGAAAATTAGCTGATGCGAGTTTGACACCCCTGGTATGGAGCAATAAGACAAAGAATGCACCTTCAATATCGACACAAATTACATTTTACTGCCTTTAGTTATGCAGCCTGCCATCAATAAAAGTTCATTCGTTTATCCTGAGTGTCTAAGTATTCCAACTCATCTTGCTGAAGACATTGGGTGCAACGCACTTACTATTACATTTCACATAACGAGCAAGAGCAACTCAATTGTGACAAAGCGGATGTGATGGTTAGCGCGAGCTCTGCATCGTCTCTGCTCTTCCTATTATCGTTTAATTTTGAGTGAGTTCAGGATGTTGTCGGTCAATCATCGGTAATCTATCAGACTGGTATTTGGCATACACTCATTATGCACCGGTAAATAGGGAATCAGCGAAAAGTGGGTCTGCCGGACGTCTACATCAAACGTGTTTTTGTTGTCGTGATTTAATGACCTAAAGCGCTCCATCTAGACGCTCACGCATCCTGTCTTTGCGGCATTATAAAAGCCCCAGCCAGTGGTCATCGCTACTTTGTGTAGGACCACCGTACTGACTTGCAACCTTCAACTGAGGTTAGTAACAAAGCGAATATTGTCTGAAAGAGGCTCAATGACTTCTAGAATGTGTCCTCTTTGTTCTCGTTAGGTGGGAGTGTTGTTTTTATATAGTTTATATTATCTTTGAATTTGAGAACTCCCTTTAAGCTCCGTGTTACGCCCCCTAACAAATATCTTCGTTTATTTTAGAGCTCTTCACGAGTGTGGCGACAGCTGGACAACATGGATGGGAAACGGATCATCTTAGCTCTTGCTGCAATGGCGGCGCTCGTCTGCGGTAAGACCAAATAAACGTTAGCAAAGTGAGGTGTTGGGCTAGTTGGTTTTTCATGACTGAAAAAAATCGCGATACACTTGCTGCGAAAAACGAAGTTAGGGAGGAGACAAAAAAGAAGTGGACGGTACAAGCGCAAACTATCAACTGAAGTTTATTGAAAGAAATTGGAAGAATGAAGGCTTCCCAGAAAGATAATAGTCAGTCAGCGAAAAAGGTGAGGCTCGGCAATCTTGCTCCACGGTCTCCTAATGGAAACACGTGGGGTGATTGAGATCACCAGATGTGATGCTGCTTCAAAGTTGTTATGCGGGTATTCTGATTAAAATGCTACTTCTGGCTTATGATGCGTTCGATTTCCGCGGGGGTCAGATAAATGAAGTTTGAACCGGCGCATCTGCTTTCTTTGTCTGATATGAAAAAAGGCTTCCTAAATTTCGCGTGTAGCCCCACCGCGGTGGTCTAGTGGCTAAGGTACTCGGCCGCTGACCCGCAGGTCACGGGATTGAATCCCGGCTGCGGCGGCTGCATTTCCGGGGGTGGCGGAAATGTTGTAGGCCCGTGTACTCAGATGTGGGTGCACGTTAAAGAACCCCAAGTGGTCGGAATTTCTGGAGCCCTCCACTACAGTGTCTCTCATATTTATATGGTGGTTTTGGGACGGTAATCTTCACATATCAATCAATCAATTTCGCGTGTAGCCTTATTTTTTTATTTTGCCAGAATTTTAGTTTTTTCAAACAGTTGGCAGCACTCACACTCTCTGCAGCGCATAGAGAGGATATTAATTTTAGCCTGTTTTTCAGGAAGAAATTTATAAAACTATCCGGTTCTTGGCCGATCCCCCAGCGTGGGTATGCGCCACATTGTCAAGGATCTTTACTTGACTTGACCTGTGATGGCTGTCTGCCGACAGGCATAGCGATGCTCTTTGAACCGCTCGTTGATGCACCTTCCCGATTGCCCATTGTTTTCCTTGCCACATGTCTGTCCACTTCTTTTCTGTCTCCTTCCTAACTTCGTTTTCGCAACAATTGTGGCGCAATGTTTCTCAGTGAAGACCAAATAAATTTGTGCCTTAAAGATTCGGAAAACGGCAAAATCAAAATTTCGAATACACTGAGTATCAAAGTGTTACGCTATTAAAAAAGTCACACCTTTGTCGCAAAGGCGAAGCAATGAACGCGATAGCAACAAATTGGAAGGTCACGCGCAAAATGATAAGCAGATCACAACGTGCCCCGCGTTTCTCACGCACAAATGACGTCCGAAATGTACTCAAAGGTACAGATGAACGTGAGTAAGCGTCTCAGTCGTTAATGTGCTCTGTCTGAAAAACGCACCCTTCTCGCGAACAGAGACTGTGCAACAATTGGAGTGACATTTGTGCGTCCAGTAACTACAACAGAATTGTTCCGGTGAAAGTCCAAGGCCAGCCAAGTCGTACAATTGTCCCCACAGTGAGATAAGCGCGCACGCTGGCGTCGACCCTGCTCCCTCTCCGCGGGCAAAGTAGGCTTAGAATATGAGAGAGCGCGCTGTCGCGTCGTGACGATGTGGCGACGCGTGCTCATTGCCCCATCTTGCTGGTAATGCTGAAAACAGAATAGTTTCCCCCGAGATGCCTGTCACCAGCAGTAAGTGGTATATCTAAATAGCTTGCTGTTTGAACGTACAAGGAGGTGCTCCTTCGTGGCTCAGTGGTTAGCGCCTAGAACTCACAATTCAGTGGTCTGGCGTTCGATTCCGCGCGCTGAAGTCTTTTTCTGAATTACTTTCTTTCTCGCGTCTTCATATATGTTGATACGTGTATATATACGGTGAGTGATGACGACGCTCTCGGCAGAATCCAGCCGACAGTGTCCATAAAATTGCTGTCGCAATAAAACAGTCTGGCATAAGTTTTTAAGATAACAGAAAATATTCATTCAGCAGCGTAAAGTTGGATGTGGTAATATTTAGGTTCGAGCGATGCAAAACTTTTCTCTGACTGACATATTTCCTTAACTACGTGAGACTCATCAGCCAAGAGCCATGTATATTTTAGGTGGTATTGTAGCTAAAACTAAGTAATTTTTATTCAACAGTGACTGTGCACCTTCAATTTAAGATGACGGGTACTAGAATTTTACGACGTAGCTATTCTACCGTAATACAAAAAACGCGAATGACGCACTTTACAATTGCGTATGGTGTTAATTCCAAATGTGGTGCAGTAGCATCATGAGTGAGATGAACAGTGCTATGCGAAATCGTCCTCAAAGGTAGACACACTGGGACACGCAAATAGTTCAATGTATTTTTTCGGTTTTAAATTGATGATAAATTGCCGACAAATTTGTTATGCGTAACTGGAAAGCTGAAGCTTTAAAAAGGACTTCTAGATTAAACAAGAATGAAAGCCCACATATACAAACAAGTGCACGCCTCCTGACGTCATGCAGGTCCCTGCTCCCTCCTGCAAGTTATTCTCTTTTTTGTTTTTCAGGCGCCTTTGCTGTCCCTTCCGCTGAAGCAGAGTCAGCCGCCAGATACAGCCCGGCTAAGTAAGATCAGATAGCTGGGTGCTCTCCGACTACCTGATCTCGCCATGGGGCATGTCGACAGAGGAGAGACTAACTGCATGGGCATGGAGCAGGAATGTAAATTGCGCACCTAATAACATGCACGACGATTTAATAAACCACTTAAAAGTTTATCGAGTGGGAGTGACTTTTTATTTGAAAAGAAATATTAACTGTATTCTTGTGGTGTCTGTATTCTTTTCAAGTCGTTGCTAAATATCCACAAAATGCCGAATATACACTACATTGAATGCGTTTTGTACCATTTATTTCAGTGATATCAGATACAATATAGGAGCTATACACAGGCCTCTAAATGCTCCACATTCGACGTTCTAGGAGCTTGAGAGCTGCTTGTTCGAAAATATAAGACCCGAAGATCGAACCGTTCTTCCAATGAACTTCACCGAAAGGCCAACTTTCACACTCACAAAGTACGACCTCGTCAGAGAATCAATGCTAAACATTTCGTTTACATGTGATGTTTTTCAAATTGTACAGGTTTACACCAAAATGTAGAGACCTTTCAAATTCGTTTGGGAGTTAGTTTTTGTGAGCGGATCAATAGACGCCCGTGCAACGTGTGAGGTAGTTTCAGGAATATCAGACCTCCAAGCCGTGTTCCTAAGCCTATGTAACACTGTATTAGACGAATGTTGTAAGGTTTATCTTTCCTCGATTTCGCTCTGGCAGATGGCGTTTCAACCTTTGATACCCTCACGTTTCATTTTAGTGAATTTGAAAACAGCAAGCACGATGTAAATGAACTTGGAATCCAGTTTACAAATATTATCGACACTTGTATTATTTCTCTTATGCCACGAGTACTTAAAAATAGGAAACATAAAAACCCCTGGATTTCTTGTAATACACTTCAATTGAAAAGATGGTTAAAACGAATGAAGAAAAAAAACAGCAAACGCAGTTTTCAGGCAAGATAGAAAAGGCAGAGGCACAATAGATCGCTAAAGAAAACGATCCCAAAGCTAGATAGGGTCATTGAGAGTCACGCACAGCAGCTGTGCAAGCAACAGTGGGAGAATACCTGCATTAGCAACTAACTAGTGTTCGCAAAGACGTGGAACTTACTCAGGTACCTGCTAGATTCAGATGAGACGAAAACCACTCGCAGACAGAACATTAACAGAATCATACATGCGTATGAAAGCTGCGAGCAGGACATATTACGGGAGATCACGGAACGGTACATCAATTCTACCAGGTCGCAAGTGCACCTTGGTTACGGAGGTGCAGTCAACGAAGTCCTAGACAGACCGATCTGTGAGTTAGAGATCACGGCATAAATTCCGTGTTCTAGCAACGCTTGAGCTGGGGGCAACAACCAGGTGTTCTACCACTCAGCCACGTGCCTGCTTGAAAAGAGAGGGAAAGTAACTTCATCTGCTTGGGAACGCAGTGAAAATACTTTTGCTTTACTGACACACGCTTTCTCTCTGTAGGCATCGCAATACAACGGGCAATACCACAATAATATTGCGTATATAGTACGAGCGTACATTGCAATTGGGTGCCAGAACATGTGGTTATCATAGCGACTTCTGGGTTTAAAGCCGGCTGTCACACAGGTCCCGTTAATTAGGGAGGCGATCGCCGTGCTAATTCCAAAGGCCGAAGTATCGGCCCCCCGAACCGCACCACGAAAGCGTGGACAATGTAGGAGTGGTCCTTTTTGGCGTGCCAGCGGACGCCGGCTGTGGCCCAAAAAACAAGTCAGAGCTGAGAGTTGATAAACAACACAAAATTATATTCTCAATAATGGCAGATCAAAAAAAGCAATACACAAGTATGCACACTCCGCAATAGTTGAATACAATATGTCGCCAATCAAACAACGTACTACACAGTACAATCAGCCACACTCGAAACAACGGTCGCAGACAACGATACGCACTACAATGCAGTCGCATGCATTGAACAACCAAGACACTTAAAGACTAAAAAGATAGAAAACCTATTCAGTCCAAAGTTCTTGGAGCAAAAGTCTGGATGATACTCTTCCGAGAATCACTCACTCAAAGTCGTCCAGCGTTGTTGTCGTTCCGCTGCCCTCGAAGTTTCTCTTCCAGGAAACCTCACGTCTTCAATAGGCCACTCTCCAAGCTTGAAACTTCTTCGCCGGAAACACGTCGGCATCACACACGCAGCTGTTGCCACGCGTCTTCGCTCGATAGCGGTAAACACACACACTCTTGCCTGTAGCTCGAGTCGTCACCCCTCAGGTGGAAAGCATCTTCTTCTCCTGCTTTGTCTCTACGGACAAAACCTTCGCCGACTACACGGCGGAATCCCTACGCGCTCTGGCGCTAACTTCCGTCTTCTCCTGATCTCTCCCCTCGGCTGCTCGATTAAATACCCTCCGCGCGAGATTCCAGAAAGTTCTCGTCATTTCGTCGGCGCGATACGCAGCGAAGGCTGGGGAGGGGGCGAGACGGTTCGAATGCTGTCCGCGACAGATGACTCAACCCGGTATCACCACGCCTCTTTCCTTCTAGAAATTTCGAGTGCTTGCTCGGCCGCCGATGTGAGGTGAGGAGGTTCGTCGGCGAGCCCACGCTTCCGAGAGAGAGAGTCGCGCGCCCGGGGAGCCTTTAGATGTTTGTTTTCTTTTCTCTTTTTTTATCGTTGACCTCGCGGCGTCACTCCAGCGTTTCGACGCGAAAATTTAGCGGCGCGCCCTTTTTGAGCGCTCGTTTTGTGACACCGGCTCTTCATTACAAAAGGCACACACGTTACTATTACGTAGTGTCCGCGAGGCAAGGGGAAAAACATCACCCGCGCATAATTGTTTGTGGTTTAGAGCACCCTATTGTGACCCTAACCATCTCACGGAACGCAATTATGTCCGAAAGCTTCATTGACACAAGCCGCTTCAAACCCTATAGATTACATGGTAGTAATCCAGAGTTTACACTGCTCGAGTAACATCATACAATAAAAGGTATGCACTGAGGGTTTGAAGTACGCGCTAGGGAAGAGATATTTCTATCGCGTTCAACTCTTAAAGGCGAAGCTTAGGGGCCCCAATTTTGTTTTCGAATGATGCTTTGCATTTTTTTTCACATAGAGTTTGCTTTGTGTTCTTTTCCTTCTCCGAGCTTCAGTGGCAAGTCAACGCTTGTCAGTGCTTCTTTCTTCTCCTTTCTTGCGCTGCTAGATTATATAACAAATAATGATCCGTATCGCATGGCTGAAATGCAGATGAATCAATATAGCGTGCTAAATATGGCAATGTGGCGCAATCTGAAACTACTCGATAAAAAGCAGAGGTGAGGAGGAGGGCAAGTGTCAATATTTTTTTCCTTCGGCGTTTTATTTTCTCGTAATTTTGCTTTTAATATATCTAGCAGCTTTGCTCAAAGCAGTAGGCTCGATTCAAAGTCATGGCGCCAGCATTTGGATGGCAAATAAAATGCAAGAACACCCCTCTGCTTATACAAAGGTGCACGTTAAAGAACCTTGAGTTGTGAAAATAAGTGTGGAGTCCCCGATTGAAGCATGCCTCTTGAACATACGGAGGTTTCGCAGTGTAAGGGCCCCAAAATTACCACACTCACATATTCATTTCTTCAGAGAATTTCTCTTTAATTGATGATGATCTTAATGATGATGATAGCTTCGCGTACTGCTCCTCACCCACTCTGAGGCACTGGCAAAGAAACGAATAAATTTAAGGTAAAGGTGATCGCATAAGAATGACATGACTAATGAATCTTAGAATCATTGTCATAACTTAAAGACGCTAATTTAGATACTTTATATCAAGACCGCCCTGATTCATTTAAAAATTTTTCTCCGCGAAACAAAGATGCCGGCGTTAATTGTTTTTTTTCGTCTGTTACTGCTGCTCGATGCACGAGCGATTCACCGTAGCTGGTCAAGCCCTTAAACAGGAGCGAACAAAGCAACGAATGTGGAAGACTGGCTAACGCCCTACAGCGGGTACAAGCCACAAGACAAAAATAACGACCGCAAGAACGTCCAGCAGGACATCATCATCATCCTCGCCACTCCATCCAACGGACAACGCAGTCGTTTCAGTGGGCCACGTGAAGAAGCAAGCAAGCAAGCAAGCAAGCCTGGCTTGCCCATGCTCAACCTGCTGGGGTGTTCCTGGCTGAGGATTGAGTGGTTTTAACTTTCTGTCTTAGAGTCCGATTTTATAGTTTATCTGTTTCTGAGTCTAACCATATATCTAGTGCTCATGTCGACTACTTCTCCTGGCCAGGCGCGATCCGCCTGGTCAGCGTCCCTGCCGTCTAATGATGTACCGCTAGACTCCTTTTTCCGCAGTGGTATAAACAGTATTCCCGTGGCACTGGTACCTACAAATGGAGGCTTCATCTGACTTACAAACCCTCAGGTGGTTCAAAAAGAACTTAAGAGAACTTTAAACCGTTTCCAGAACATCACAGATGTGCGCCCATTTGGGCGAGGAGGTATCGTGTGTAGGTCGCCGGATCAGACCTGCGTGCAGGATCTTCTCAAATGCACCTCTTTTGCTGCTACCCCGGTGAGTGCTTTTATTCCGCCTCACCTTGCATGTACCAAAGGCCTTGTACGGGGAGTCGACTCCAAGCTGAGTCCAGCTGAAACCCTAGACAGGCTCTCTGGAGCAGGCGTAATTTCAATTTACCGGTGTAATCGCCTAGTCGACAACGAGAGGGTACCAACCGAATCTGTCATCGCGACATTTGTGGGCACAAAATGCCCGTCAGAAATAAAATTATGGCCACTGATCTTCCGAGTAGAACCCCTCACTTCTCGTCCGATTCAATGCAAGAACTGCTGGAGATTCGGCCACAGTGCAGGAGGATGTAAATCTAACGTTCATTGTAGCACCTGCGGAGAGAGCCATCCTTCAAGCAAGTGTACTGCAACAGCGGAAAAGTGTTGTCTCTGTGGGGGTAGTCACTGCGCCGACAACTCTGACTGTTCCGCTCGTTCACGGGAGGTTCAAATCACAGAAATTATTGACCGCCGCCGCTGTTCTCGAAGGGAAGCCATTGATATAGTTAGAGACAGGGCTTTTGGATACTCTGGTATTACAGCGCGCTGCACTTCCAGTATGGACTCAAACCTATCGCAGGCTATTGAAACTGCTGTGGAAAAGG